TATAAGACACATCTTAAAAGAAGCCATTGTGGTATTAGATGCAAACACTTGCATTAATAAAGCCTAGCTTTTACTGAGGTCCTTAAGTCAAGTATTACTTGTTAACTAAGCACTTGAAAGCCTGTCTCTTGATGGCATTTCAAAGCATTACAGTATTTTTTAATTCAAGGTATTTCAAGGTATTGCAGTACTTGATTTTTCCAACCTTTTGTGCCCTGCTTTCCTAAACATGCAAATGAAAAGCCTAGAAATTCTGCCTTATTCAATTGTCGTGTACCTGTCATCACAGTATCGAGACACCTGCCTATCTCCTTTACAGAACTATTGTGAGGGTGCATTCATTAAAGCTTGTGACATTCTTGGAGATCCTCGGATGGAAGGTGCTAATGAGTTGTAAAATATTGTAATGATGCTGTAGAATATTCAGGCTCTTTGTAAGGCAAACCTTGCATCTTTCCTTCTTTGCTTTCCTGTTTCTAGATGCGTATTTTGCAATAGAAGGTAAGTCTAAAAAGGGGGGGGGGGAGTGATTAAACAAGGTAGATTCCTAATGCTGCTAGTTTTCTTCTGAGATACCTAGTTGTTTTTATGCACTACTTTGCTTATTTCTCATTTCTTATTGTCTCTCCGATGAAGCCGTACTTCAGTAGCTTGTTCAGAATTCTCTGAACACTCAGAAATGTCAAGGGAGAAGATTTTCTTCTCCAGATTGCCAAGGCCTTCATTTGCATCCCCTAAATCAATTCTCACACATGATCAAAGCAGTTCTGGAAATTTTCAAGTGTGGGGAAAACCAGGCCTCTTAATTCCTTCTCCTCTTAATATATGCAGTCAGGTTCCAAAGCATTAAAAACAAAAATCTTCATCCACTGAATCTAAAAACACATGAATTTTATGCCTCCTTGCATTCAAAGGATTGCAACTGTGTATATTAAGGACAGCAAGGCTAGAAAAGATGTAACAGGTCATCTATGTATGTTTTCTCTTCAAGCTCTCGCATTGCCGTAGCGTTTTGCTGTGGAGTTTTCTTTTGAATGACCCAAAAGATGCCAATTCTGCCTGTTGCCTTACAAGTAGACCTCATTGTGTAGGATTAACTTTTTATCTTCACCTTGCATTATTAGTGTCATTATAGTTCATTCTTCCTGCTTGGCTTAGACAGATAAAGCCATATCAGAAGCAAAAAATACTCCAATTCAGAATCCCCAAATACTTGGGGATTCTCCTATTGCTTTCTTGAGTGGGAAGGGGAGGAGGATCTCGAGTGGGGCTGTAATACTGCTCCTGAGAAACTGCCCTGTTGTTGCATTCATCTAATATTTTGCTTGGCTGTGCATGCAGCTCTCTCATGAGTTTAATTACTGTGTAGTCTCTATGGCAATTGGTTTCCTTTCAGAAGTGGTTTCAGGGCAGCTGTGATAAACCAAATGCTCAGTGGAGGAGATAGAGCTAGGTTCTGAGTTCTCTCTTCCCACTAAAAGCAGCCATAATCTGGGAACAAACTAGTATGCAGCCATTAATTGTACTGAGATGAAAATAAGCCCTCGACCAGTTCTAGCCTCTTTATTTAAAGACTGGGCCATTTTCTCAACCTAATTCTAGACTGAGTTCTAGACCCTTTCCCCATGCTTCCCCTTTTGAACAAGGGGAAACCAAAATCTAATATCTAGAAGGAACGGTGCATATTCCACATATATCCAGAATCTCTTATGATCCTGAGCTGTAACGATCAGGTCCAGATCTGCTGTGACTGAACTGAGCACGTCTTGCTTCTCTCTGTGTTTATGGTATGCACTGGCTTCCTTTAAGTAGCAAGCAAAGGCATTCATTTTTACCTATCACCTTATCTTTTAATTTCTGGCTGCTCAGCTCCATTCTGACAAGTGCAATAAATGTGTTCTCCTGGGTCCTTGCAAGCTGGGCATTAGTCACACTGCATTTCAAGGACATCAGTCCAATAGGTTTTCAGCTGTAACGGAAAACATGTTCTGCCAGGAGCCATTTGTTCCAGTTTTGTTGCTTACCAATAAACTACAAATCAATGGTGTTTTTTTTTTTTGTTGGGATTTTTTTGTGCTTGAGAAGCAGGTCAGAGAGTAGGAGGGAGATAAGTGGGAAAAATGAAGGTGCTGAAGTTGGTTCTCTGGGTTTCTCTGCAATAATGGCATGTGGCATTTCATATAAAGCGAGTATCTCTGTCAACCTGTGAAATACAGTTACCTTTGGCAAACAGGATAGCTGTTGTTTAACAGCAAACAGCACTGGTGCATAGCAGGTCTCACACTGGGCTGTTTAAATTAGATTTAGCTTTGTGAAACAAACGGTACTTGAGAGGATGTTGTATTTGCCATACTTTTAGAGTAAATGCCAATGGAGCATCAGTATGATACGGATCAGAACTGCATTTTGATATCTCCACCACAGGTGGAGTACCCATAATATCTGTATCCTCAACTACGAAACTGCCCGCTCAAACCACTTAGTCATCTAACTAAACAAAATCATGCAACTGATCTTAAAATACAGGCTAATTCTTGGCTTTACTGAATCAGTGCCTTAGTCACAACTGAGTCGGAGGAGTTTGCTTAGAAGGTGAAATGCAATCAGTGCTTTTTCCTTCCTTGGAAATTTCTCGGTTTCATCATGACTGATTCAGCTGATTAGTTCATCTGAGCTGGTAGTGTGGTTGTGCAATAAATAAGGTTTACCTGGACCTAGCACTTCTTCATTTAAGAATGTCTCTCCTTCCTGATTCTTCAGATTCAGACTCATTTAAAGGAGTTGTGATGGTATCACTGAAGACCCCTTCTTAATGAGTCGATGGTAGCGTGCTTTCCCCTGCTGCAATGCATGACACAGCCCAAGTGGACTGCAGAGCAGATTTTGCTCTTTAAACTCTTTAAACTGTCTTTTCAGCAACACTTCATGAACCCAGATTATTCTTCAGTTTAAAGGTAATAATTTATTTTGCAGATAGTGTTTTAGAGTATGCATGAATATATTTGCATGTGAGCTGGCCACTGACTTACAAGCCCTCTTCAGATACTTTTATATTACGTTCAAGCTCTGTACATAGTTATATTCGTAATCAAAATCCAGTATTTGGGCAAATAAATTTGTATTGCATCATGTATTCATCAATGGGCAATCTTCTTTCAACTGATGATATATTGCCTTGCAAATCTTTATTAACGGGCTGGTTCTTACTCATGTATTAAGTTAGTTTGAGAGTCATCGTGAGCTGGACAGCCCTACTACTCTCCATACAAAAGAAAAATACCTAATGTAGCATACTGTCAGCTGAAGCTAAGTTGGCAGAATGTAAAGACTCAGCTAGCTGGCAACAGATGGGCTACAGGCTTCTTCTGACATGATCTGCCATCCAGCATATGTTAGACAGCCTGAAAAATCAAGGGGGTTTAGGCTGAGGCTTTGTTTAAAAAAAGAAATACGTCTTAGCTTTTGATAGAGGTGGCCTACAGCACAGTCAGAGGAGTAAATGTGGAGTAACTTGGTTAGGGTTACCCACAGCACAGGATAACAACTGCGGTGTTGTTCATTGCGTTGGTTCTCTTCAAATTCCTTCTTTTATTTGCTCTGCAAACACTCATATTAACAAATGTGCTTAAGAAACAGCAAGTAAAGCTGGTTGGGCTTGAGGATGGGTGGGCAGAACAGCTTGCCTTTGGATATCCAAATGCCATAGACCAGTTTCTGCCAACTGAGACCTCAGTGCCTCATCAAGAGCAGTGAATGGACTGGTTTCTTGCCTTGGGTAGGGGCAAACAGGTAGTGAGCAGGCAAAGTCAGGTAACAGCACTGGGCTTGCCTTGGTCAGGAGGGAGGAGGAGGCTTTACCAGAACAGATCCATCTCAGCATTTAAGTTGCATAGTGTTTTAAAATAAAGAAATAACACAGCTCCGGGATCTTGAACATTCTGGACTTTATTTTTGTTTCCCTGTGGGAGGGGAATGGCTAATAGGTACAAAGCATGAGTAGTCATATCTAATTATAAAACAAGTTGGTTGCATTTTAGTTGTCAAAACTCTGATCATCTTCTATCGAAGCATTTTCTAATGGAAGTTTTTGACCAAAGAGCAAGTTAAGTTTTTGTTATAGGATAGGTTCTGCGCAACTTAATTATTCATATGAAACTTATTGATTTAGGTCGGACTTGTGAGATTTTTCCAAGCAGAACTAATAGACTTTTGCCTTGATAAAAGTCAGTAAAACTACACTAAAAAAGGTTTCTCACTGCAGAGTATTTGCCTGAACTGTGAGCACTGCTATTCCTCCTTTTGGGCAGGGTTAACGCTGCATCCCAGGATTTCCTCTGCAGCAAGGAAACCCTTTGGGTCTACAGGCACCAGCTGGGAGGGCCATGAAGGCGCTCTAAGGTGCGTGCATCTTCGAAGCAGACCCATCTGCAGAGCATTACCGTTTTAGAGCTTTGAAAACACTGCAAGAAAGCGGGGATGTGTTTCATAGTGTGCTGCACGCAGGTGTTGGCAGTTTGACCTGTCCTGGAGGGGGTCAGAGCCCAGCAGATGACCCGGGGCTGCGCGTCCCACTATGGTGGACTTGGCATCAGTGTTGGATGGGGTTAAAAACCAGCTTTTTGCCGAAGAGATCTGTGAATGTTGAGGTGAAAGCACTGAAATAGCTCTGTGAGATCTGAACTTTCTGAAACGTCGGGGGTTCAATCAACCTCTCATTAACCAGCTGGGTCCGGTTCCAGCGGGCAGCACCTCAGCCCTGCTTCCCAAGTGCCCGCAGCTGCAGCGGGAGGTTCAGCTGCTGCAAATAAACCCAGAAACCCATGAAACCACCCCAAAACCGCCGGCCGGAGGCGAAGGCGGCGGGGCCGGACCACGGCCGCCAGTAGGCGGCGCTCTCCGCCGCCCCTCCCCGCCGCGCACATGGGCTCTCCCGCATCCCCCGCGCGCGTTGGTTCGCTCCCTCCCCCGCCTGGGAACGGGCGCGGGGGGACCGGCCGCGCTCGCCGCCGCCGCCGCCATTTTAGGTGCCGCTGGCGGGGGAGGGAGGGAGGGGAGGACCGGTGAGCGGAGCGGGGCAGCGCTTCTCCTCCCTCCTCTTCCTCCTCCTCCTCGTCGGGGCCGAGCCGTGCCCTCCGCCCGGCGCAGAGCGGAGCGCGGACCAGCGGGGGCGCCACAGCCGCCCCGGCAGCCGGGGGTGCGCGCTGCCCTGCACCGCTCCGCGCTGCCATGCCGCCGCGCCGCCCGGGCATGCCGCGCTCGCTGCTGCCGGCCCCTGCCGCCTGCCTGCTGCTCGCCGGGCTGCTCTGCGGGGGAGCGGCGGCCGCTCGAGGTAAACAGAGCCGGGGCGCGGGTGTGGGAGGATGCTCGGTACCGGCAGGGGGGAATGGGGGGGGGGGGGGGGGTGGCAGGTCGGGTTCACCCTCGCCGCCTTGCGCCTCCGCTCCCCGGGCGCCCTGTGGGGCTGTGCCGCAGGTGGACCCGGCGGGCGGGGGGCCGGTGCCCTTGGCTCTGTTCGCCCTTTGAGGCTGGGGGGGAGCGCGGAGGAGGACATCGCGGCGGTGCGGTCGGGAAGGAGGGCGCTGGCCGCACCTCCCCGGGGCTCGCTGGGGACCCGCGGCTGTTGCACCTGCGGCGCCGCGGGGAGGGCAGGTGGGATGCGGGCGGTGCTCACCTCTGCCCCCCCCTCTCCCGAAGCCCCTTCCGACCGCGAAGGTCAGGCCTCGGCCGCGGGGCCCGGCCCGGCTGCGGCGGGATGCGCGGCGGCGCTGGGTGCCGGCCGCCTGTTACATAACGGCTCCCTCAGGCGGGGTCCGCACTTGTTGAGGGGGGGGGCTCCGCTGGGGAAGGGCACCGGGAGCCGCCGCTGCCCGGTACGGAGCGGCCCGGGCGCTGCAGTCCGGGAGGCAGCGCTTGGAAAGGCGCCACAGCAGAGCCGTGACGGACTTGGGCTTGGGGGAGAGCAGCGGTGGCCGGCGGGGTGGGAAGGGGGAATCAAACCCCCTCGGGGAGCCGAGCCTTGGGGCTGAGGTGCAGAGCACCCGGCTGCGGTGAGCGAGAGGAGGGAGCACGGAGCGGTACGGCGGTGCTAAACGTTGGCCTGGTGGCTATTGATTGATCTTGTGGAGTAAAAGTATACGCATTGCAGGTCTCCTCCTGAGCAGATTTCCATGAGAGGCTTGCAAACGTTTCCTTACCTGAAGGTTACCCCTCGAACTGAGAGTGCCGTTTCTGCAAGATTTACTTGATTGTACGGTGGGATTTGAGATCCTGTGTTTAATTTGAACGTAGATTGGAAGTGCGGCTGTAAAATGGCTTGCAAATACGTTGAAGGGATGCTCTTGAGCAGAAACAAGTCATTAAGGGCACATCTTGCTGCAGTTTCCCTACATAGGGCCAAGAAGCTGCTGCTGTAAGTCAGCAGCCTGCTGTTTAGATAGGAGCTGTGATTTACCTGTGTGAGATCTCTTTAAGTTCAATCTATTCACTAGCATACTTGCAACCGTGACATTTAGTGCTCAACCCACCAATACAGCAGGATGGCTTTTCCATCATTCTAAGTCATGAATAAATCCAAGACCAAAACCCGTTTTCAAAGTAGCTAACGTGTACTTGGAAAAAAATGGCAAATTTAGGCAGCTCTGTCGGCTCTTGTGCAGTTTGTGAAAGGCTGTGCTTGTCTCCGATCTAACCTGCAGAGCTGTTGGACTGCAGGTCCTGATCTGTTAAACTTCATCACACATAACTGAGTTACAGATCTGCTTTGGCTCAGTATGTGCATTGGTCCTCAAGGCGCTTTGGCTACTCCAGCTACGCCTGTTAATAGTGTTACATGAGGGTGCATTTAACAAGTAAGCTCTGGAGAGCACCTGGAAAGCTGCTCAGGTAACTCATTTCCCTGTTGTTAGGAGAAACAATTGTTTGGAGGCGTTTATGGTAAACTTCCAGGTTTGGGCTGTGTTTTCAGTGCCGTTCTTCTTTCAGGTTCACCTGAGATATTTTTCACCTGTGACTTTCAGGCTGGTTGGGCTCAGGTTCTAAAGAGGTGAATTCCTGTTCAGCTGATGTACAGCTCTCAATTTCACTGGATTTATCGTGCGATTGGTCAAGTTGACCTCAATATTTCTAAGCTTGCTGGACTAACGTTGCAGAGGAAAAGCAGTAGCTAGTGGTGCATTCACATAGAGCTTGTCAGAGTGAAGCAATTGGATGTTTATCGACAGAGCTGAATGGGGAGTGGAAGGGAATGACTTTTCTGACGAGAAGACAGTGCAGTTAATGGCTGCTGCTTCTGTGGTTAGTGACCAGGTAGAGGGATATACCTCTGTTGCCTTGAGTCCCTTCCAAATTATGGTCATTTAGGGAAGGGTATTGATCAGAATAATGCTATCTTGATGAAGCTTTGCTGATCTGTGATTATTTCAGGAAGTTATCTGGTGCTGTGAATGTTTTAAATCTAAACCACAAACCACTTTCTCACTACCATGGTCTTACTGCAGATGTTTCTTTGACACAGGAGCAACCTTCATTATATGGGGCTGGTGGTTAGTTTCCATCTCCTTTCTAGAGGCAAGGCAATTTAAGACTATCTAAAAGATAATTTGGCTATTTCTGGTGGGTTTTTTCCCTTTAAGGATTTATAAAAGTAAGAGAGCACTGAGAAAAGACAGAATTAACCAGTGCTAGACCTTTCTATGATGCATAATGCATGGAAAAGCATAATATACAGCCATCTGTTTAGGGAAACTATTTTAATCTCTTTTCCTGTACATATTATATAAAATAATACACTGCTGAGGAAATGGAGGGCAAGCATGGTTTACTTTGTGTGTTTGGAATACTTGTGTGCCAGTTGACTTCTCTCATGTTATTAGACTGCAGGTTGAGCTGCCTGTGCCAAGTTATCAGGGAAATGTATCAACAGAAGCATTTCTAGACTTGCAGATAGATAACGTTTCTGCATATTTCAAATCACCAGTTTCAAATTGCAAAGACAATTGGGGTTTTTTTTTTAGGAGCAGGACAGAAGCTGGGCTCGTGGCTTTCTGTTTCTCATGGCTTGGAGTTAAACCCAGACCAAGCCATAGGACGGCATAATGTCAACACCTCATCTCAAACAGATTGAATTAGAATTCGGTAAAGCAGCATTTTCTGCTGTGAAAATCTGTGTATCTGATAGCTCCGTGGCTATGAAACTGTTCTTCAGAGGAGAAAAAGCTTGTGTAGTCACTGATGTTCTCTGAACAAAAGCGCTTTACCATTTTCCTGAGCCATATCTCATTGTCTGTAGCAGCATTCAGAGAATGTCTCTCAAATTTTGTGATGTTAAGGGGAATAGCCATACCTCAAAACATAGGAGCATTCAGGAAGCCAGAAGCCTTGGTCTTAAATCTTATTTTGCCCTCTCTTTCATTTGGTTCGTACTGATTGACTCACGGTGGCTTCAGCAGGGACTAAACCTCCTTAGGAGCCTTTAGAAAGGATTATTAGAAACCCGAGCGCCTTTGAAGAACTGTCTGTCTGTCTTTTGTTTATAGTGTTAGGTCTCATCTCACTTGCTTTGTATTCAGGCTGAAAACAAGTTGCTGCTGCAGCTCCCAGTTGGTTTCCTTGTTTTTAAATGGGATCAACAAATAGAGGCAGAAGTGCCAGCTAGACTGAGATGATGGTTGCTGTATTCGTAAATAAGATTCCCTTTCAAGGAGTGAAGTTTATAAATATGAGAGCAGTTAGAAAGTGATTTCCATTCTTGCACTACAGTTAGCCACATTTAAAAGGGAATTTATTAAATGTTCAGTTTTCTATTTCAGTGTTCTGGTTTAGCTTAAAACATGTTAAATTTCCCTTAAAAAAAAAAAATAGGGCTTTGATGGCCTAATCCTGCTTAGGCTGTTCTGTGCTGGAATATTTCTGGTTTGCTGTTTTCCCTGCCAGACTTTTATCCCAGTAGAAATTTGGTCAGTAGGTCCTCTATGTGTGATCTTTGGTGCTCTGAGCATTTCTTCTGCTGCAGTGGTGGGTGCTAAAAGCTGTGACTAGTTTGTGTGTGGTTTGCATGTAGCTTAGTTTCAGGCTCATTGCAAAGCTTCCATGTATCTCTGTAGAAATTAACTCAGATTTAGGCCGCTGGTTCAGTGTACAACGTGAAGCTCTGTAAGTGGTGATAAACCAGAGAGTGTTCCTTAGGCAAACTATAATTTAATAAAACCTGTTAAATTTCTACAGCCATTAGTTTGAATATGGTGGATGGAGAACTACTGTTAACTGTGCCGGCTGACCCTGACAATTTATAAGCATTACCTTGTGCTCCTGGTGTATGACAGTTCAACTTCCAGAGCAGACATTGCAAATGCTCCTTACCTGTGTCAAAGAATCCAAGACAGAGATCTGAAACTGTGGGATGATTTTCAACCACCTGATTTTCCTTCAACTAGGAACTGTAGAGGTTAATGCTGTGGATGCCTGTGCCCTTACCTAATCCCTTTCCTCGTGCAGATTCATCTCTGTATAATCTATTACTGCCTACTACTTTCGTGTCCCAGTAATGGGAATTACAGTTTGTCTTGGAAGCCCATACTGGAGAAAAGTGCCATGCTATCAAGAAACTCTGCCTTTGAGCAAAACTTGTGTTCAGTTTTAGCCCTTGGTTTGTACCTGGTTGCAAGACAATGGGTTTTGGTAAAATTTGAGGTACGAGAAGAGCCCATTTAATAAACAAATACAATAGATCTTTTCAGAACCACTGAGATAGTCCAAGTTGGTTATATACAAAGTTAATCCTCACCCTTTTCTCACAAGAGGCACAGTTCTGCATTGCAGATTGGCTGAGCCTAGGGCAGGAACAGAACACACATTATAATCAGGCTGTGCTACACCCTTTCTTATTAAACTGTACTTTCAGGGTGGAGGAGGAGGCATTATTTTGTTGTGTAGAACTTTACACCTTGGTTGAGCTATATTTTTCTGTGGTTCTGTATTATACAGACTTGTTGCTTTAATGATATTGCATGGGATTTCATCAGAACAGAACTAAACTATGAATGGTCAGGGTAGGACATACTTTAGAGTTTTTATTGTCTCTCTGAAAGGCACGCTTGCCTCTTTTACATCAAGAGAAACACAATCAAAAGGATGTACAGTGATCAATTATTGTCAGACCTTCAGGACAGGAGTAAAGAACTGCTCCACTTAGTTTATTGAGCGCAGTTCATTTGGATTGACAGAGAATATAATCTTGGTATGCAATCTCTGGGTTTTTCGTGAAGTCTCAAAGGTGGATTTTACAAATGAGTGTCTTGTCACTGGGTTGAACACCTAGCTTTCAAACTCTAGTACTTGTTACATCATCTTCATCTGTTTCTAAAGATAGCATGGCTAAACAATGCTGTACATTAAAGTAGTTACCCAGAAGAAGTGTATTCCGTTACAGCCCTTTCTGGTTGAGGTGTGTCCAAATCTTCACTTATGTAGGTGCCAGGTCCCATTTAAGTCAAATTAGTGTTCTGACCACTTGTAAGAAGATAAAGGAAGTCCTTGGAAAGGACTCTGATAAGTACATTTAACTTTAATATGTTCACATTCAAATAATAGAACAGGATTAATTCTGATTTAAGATCATAGCTTTTGATTAACATTTCCATACTATCCCTAAACCCCCCTGCTCTGCCTATATATTCATTTACATTCATTCACTGTTTTAAGCAGCAAGGGAAAGTTGCTGCTGGTTGATCTGATGTGTATTCTTGCATTACTTTGGTGAAGCATCCTTTCCTTGAGGTACTTTCCTTTTTCTGCAGTTCCAGTCATTGTGAGTAAAAGCTGGTCTGTTCATTCATGGGAAACTGAACGCATTTACCTAAAGTAAAGAGTACTTTAAAAAGCTGTGTTCAAGGCGCACATCACATCAGGTACCAGTTTCCTTTCTTCCTATATAGTTTAGCAGCAGTTACCTTTAGATAACCCTGCTTAAGTGGCTTGTGCTCACCTTGCAGATGTGTTCAGCCATTGCTTGGCAGCAGTAAAGGCTCTAGCATGAGCTGTTACAATTCAGGTGGCAACCTGGAAAAAGAGGGATGCTCAGCTGGCTTTAAAGTATTTTTTGGCCACTGAAAGCTAAGTAGAAGTCAGTTGGCTGTGTTGAGCCAGGGTAGCTTCCCCCACTTGACTAGATTAAATGCTAGTTGGGATTTACAACAGATTCCAGTTGAGGCGCTTACAAATAGTGTGAATATTGTGTTTCAAGGAAACCAGTGTAGTTTATCCCAGTTAAATGGCAAGAGATTAACAGCTCAGGGCACTTTGTTAGTGTCAAGCTTGGAATGGGCGGACTTTTGGTTTGAAATTAACAGTGTGAACAGTTTATTTGAATGACTTCCTCTAGATTTCAGGAGTTCGGGGACAATTAAAGGGGTAAAAAATGTGAAAGGATGGTTTTCAATCCAACGTTTAGCAATATTTAAGCCAACTGGTTCACTTTCGTGGTAGGTTCAGGGGCAGTGGTAATGTATCGCTCATAAGCTGTGCCTCATATTTCAAATGCTAGCTGGAGAATTTCTTACAGTGTGTAGTTACGCTGGAGTCAGGAGATCCCAATATGGATAACGGGCCTTTCCTGGATATTCAGCAGTAAGTTTGGTGTTCTCAAATCCGGTGATGTTTAGCCTTCATAAACACAAAGGGATTTAAGCTTTATGTTTTAAAATCTGGTGATGTTTTAGCCTTCCTAAACACAAAGGGGTTTAAGCTTTATGATTTTATTGTCTGCAGCACAATAAAAGGACATGACTTTGCTTTTAACTGAGCCTGTTGTTTGAAGGTTCACTAGACTCTGCAGATGCTTAACATACTCATAATTCTGTTCATATGTGGTTGCAGTGCTTCAAGCTTTTATACTACTTCCTTACCCTTCAGTAGTGGGATTTACTGTGGGCTGCTAAATCAGGAGAAGGTTTCTCAATGCTTAAAACCAATTAATTTGTCATCTGCCTTGAGAAGCATTAGAATGGAGATGGAGAGGGGTTTGGCAGAGATCTTTTTTAGGATTTTATACTAGGTCCTTGCAAAGAAGATGAATGGGTGAAGGGGGTCTGAGCTGTTTGATTGAGGTGTAACCACCCCAGATGCACTGGCAAAAAAGTACACAACTGTATCCTCCTTATGCTCCTAACAACTGTAGCTGTATTAGTGAAACACTTGTGTTTAGACCAGATTTGAATTGAGAGATGTTGTTTCCATTAGCAACTCAAATGTTAACAGTTATCGGTGCCTTCCTTCCGAGGGAAGAAAGCTGTGTTAGCCCCTCTGAGCATGACAGAGTTCCTTTTAAAGCACCACGTTCCTTGGAGGGTGCTGCAGCCCTGTACTTCTCTGGGTAAATAGAACCATGTGGTTGACATTGAGCTGGCTGTTTGGTATGCTGGATATTGAAAGCATGCCCATGTGAGGCTATTGAGGCAATAAAGATAGTGTTGCCATACTGAGTAAAACCACACGGTGGTAATTAAGCACTATTTGCATTAAAATAGTTTGTTGTGAGTTCTCTCTTGCTGCATTATTATGTATGAAGATATTATATCCTGTCTAGCAGTTTGTTGCTAGTAACAAGTAAAAAATCGCAGATGAAAGCGTATTGGGGAATATTATGGTTTCCTGTGAGAGTTCTATGATTTTTAATCATTTGCTTAAGTGTCCTTTTGTCACCGTTTAGTTTAACTCCCTGAAGAACAGTCCACCAGCTGCATCCCAGGTTTTCCTTGCTGGAGAGCAGTAAACAAGTCCTTGTGTTTCATGTTGGCCAGTCATTTTTCATCTGGTGCCGAGTATAGGTTTTCCTGGTGTCGCACTTGGCACTGATGGCTGTGGCTCCCCATCACTGTTAGAAGGTTTTTGAGTTGCATTTCAGGGACAACTTAAATCCCAGCATAGTTAAGGGACTAATTTAGAATCTCTGAGTTACTTTTGGGAAGCCTGCAGGACACTGAACTCTTCTGAACATACTTGGCCAGGATTTTGTCTCAAAGTTTTTAATTTAGTAAGATACAAATTCAGATTTAGAAAAATGAAAGAGGAAAATACTGAAATCAGCATTGTAAAACATCTTCTAAAGAAGTTTTCAGACGTTTTGACTTTGTACTTTGCTTTCCTTTCAGTTAACAAGCATAAGCCATGGATTGAAACAACCTATCATGGTATAGTTACAGAAAATGACAACACAGTGCTCCTGGACCCCCCTTTGATAGCCCTGGACAAAGATGCACCTCTGCGTTTTGCAGGTAAAGAATTCATCTGCATTTCTTTCCTAAGAACTGGAAATGCTTTCTTGAGGACAAATGCTGTGTGTTACTTCTGTGTTTTCCCTAACAGCAGCCTAATGCCTCAGAGCTTTTAAACCCTAGGAAATGTTTGTGCATGGACCAGAGTTTTGTTTCATATTTACAGCTGTAGCTAAATATCCAAACCAGAGAGCATTCTGTATTGCAGGTGTTCCATGTTTCTTTCAATGTCATGTGCTTGTGTGACTTCTGCTTTTGGGGGAGTTACATTGTTTTGGGGTTTTGGTTTTCAGGGTTTTTTTGCATTAGTGTCTTTTCCTCCATCGCCTGGATTCCACATTTCACAGCATTCAGTCTAGGAGTTCTGAAACAATTCTTTTCTTACTATTCTGAAGAGAGTTTTTGCTTTTCTTAGTGGTTTTGATTTGTGTCTTAATAGGTTGAAGACAATAATGAACAGAATTAAGGTTGCGTTTCTATGGTCAGTTGGCTTAGCAGTTTGGAGTATTTTTACATGTGGGACAGCCCCTTCTACTGAAGAAAAGGGTTTTTTTTTTCTCCTCTAGCAAAGAATATAGAGAATGATACATGAGAGATTTGCAAAATGTAGGGCGATTCTTCCGTTTCAACATATGACTGACAAATGAGAGTTTTCTTACAGACTTATGCAGTAGTTTTGTCTTGTGGAAATGCAGTCTTATGGAAGACACTCTTTTGGTTGACCAAGTATTAGAAAACTCTAAAGAATACCATTGGGAATCTGCAGGTATTAGCAGTACTGGACAACACAAGCTTAAGTTAGATACTTGCAGAAGCTTAGTTGTTAAGTAGAGTTTTAGAGTTGAGAATCCCAGTAAAATACTTAGAGGATGTGACAGTAGCTGTTTTGGGGAACATTGCTTAGCCTGGCTTCAAGGAGGAAGTGACAGAACAAGAGGATGATTGGGTGAACAGCCATTTAACATGTTCAGCATGCTGACTGCATGGTGTGCTACACTATTATGGCAGCTCAGTCACAAGTTGTTGAAGTGATACTTAAAGTAACAGTTTTGAGGCTGTAATTATCTCCAAGGCTGCTTTGCAAATTCAGAAAGCTAATGGTAAAGCTCTGAAAATCAGACTTTCTCAGGTGTTGGGTACACATAGCAGAGGTTAAGTAATTCTAACTAGAAATAAAACTGCTCTCTAGGAAATGTGAAGTTTCAAAATGAAGACGCTTGTGCTGGGAAATGCGTTTGTAAAAAGAGGTCCAAGAAGTTGACTTGTGTCCTTGGAGATTAGGGGAATGTGAATCATCGCTCACAGTTCCCAAGTGCTTTAAATGTAGGCACTGGGAATTTGGCAGCATGGATCAGATTTTGAAAATGGCTGGTTTATACCTCTTGGTGGATAGCAGAGACTTACTGAGTGCTGGATATTGTGAAGCTTTGAGGAAGTACTGGCAGACTATCCCCGAATATACTGAGGAAGTTGGGGCTGTTCAGCCTGGAGAAGAGAAGGCTGCTTGGAGACCTCATAGCAGCCTTCCAGTATCTGAAGGGGGCCTATAGGGATGCTGGGGAGGGACTCTTCATTAGGGACTGTAGTGACAGGACAAGGCATGATGGGTTCAAACTGAAACAGGGGAAGTTTAGATTGGATCTAAGGAGGAAATTCTTTCCTGTGAGGGTGGTGAGGCACTGGAATGGGTTGCCCAGGGAGGTTGTGAATGCTCCATCCCTAGTGGTGTTCAAGGCCAGGTTGGACAAGGCCTTGGGTGATATGGTTTAGTGTGAGGTGTCCCTGCCCATGGCAGGGGGGTTGGAACTAGATGATCTTAAGGTCCTTTCCAATCCTAACTATTCTGTGATTCTATGATACTGTCAAATTTGCAGAGGAAAATCCAATATCAAAACATCCCTTCAAATGAGAGATGCTTTTCCATCATGTTGATGTAAATTATATCAACCTGCTTTATTTAATGATGGACACATATTTAATGATGAACATAAAAATGAGCACTTTTACCAACTGGAAGTTGGTTTTGTTAAACGTTTCTATGAAGATTATGTGGTTTGGCTTTCGGAAAGTAACAATTCTGAGGCAGCAGCAGCAGAACAATGGCTTTAAAATAGTGAAGTTCTAAGTCCAGAACTGTGACTTTGTGAAGAAGTTTTCTCAATATGACTGTTGGATTTGAACTGCGTCAGTTTTGAATGACTGTGCTGTGGGAATCTATAAAAGTGTTTGTCTCCCATTAAATGGAACAATACTTGAATCTGTCTTTAAGGAGACCAGATGTGGGAGAAGCCTTGAATCAGCGTTATCAGTTCTGGCTGGTGGTGCTGTAGTCATGGCCTGGAGCGGAGAATAGCATTGTTCTTGTCCAGCAGCATCTATGTGGGTGTGGAAGTGTGAGAAGCCCATTAGATCAGTGACATGTTTTCACAGCAAAACAAAGCAGGTTGGAGATTAAGTGGCTGTTTCAGCCCTAACTGGTATATTCCTGCTTATAAATCAAATTTATTCAGGCTTCAAAAGGTTGGTATTTAATTAACTGTACCCCCCAGCTGAGCTGTGAAGCTTCTGAGCTGTCTGGAGGTTTCAGATACTTTAAATAGAGCTTTTTGCTTTATTTCAGTTTTGAGATGTTGAAACATCCTGAAACTAGTCCATTTAAATGCTTTGTAGTAGATGAACTGTGGGGCAAGCAAAAGTAGTATTTTATTGCTTTGCTCACTGTGCTATGGGTAGGATCCTAAAATTCAGGCATACAAAAATAAGCAGGGTTATAAAGACATTTCTAGGGTAATATGGATGGGTTTAAATGTGGAATGACACTTCTGAAAAGGGAATTTGAATATAGTCATGGCAGGATGCCTCACCATACTGCCCAACGTGTAGAGACCCTATGGAGCCAGTCTTTTGTACCATCAGCGTTACAGATCTGCTTGAGAAGACAATGACTGTTCTCATTCCTCAGTGAAACTTTTCTACATTCCAAATTGAGTCATGTTTGAATTTGATCCTAAATGGTTTTGCTGAAAACATAAAGGACAGCTACATTTCCTATTGTATATTAGAGTAGTTTATATCTAAAATCAGCTTGATGTCTGAAGCTCTCAGTATGGATTTCCCCTTTACTATGCAAAAAGGAACTGAATTTGTATTGCATTCTGGATGCCTTCACATAAAAGAATGTTACAAGAGCGTAACACAGGGTCTCACTAGTAAGGTGTTTGAAATGTTTCCCTGGTGGTTTGATGTGCCTATAATAGGGTTTGAATTCCTCTTCCCTCAGCTCACCCCTAGAGAAAACCACTTCTCAGCCACAATACTTCATTTTCCACTTACGAATCTGGGATGCAAGAAGTATTTTTGTGGGGGTTAGGAATTTTTTGACTTAGGGCATGAATATGCATAGAGCTTTGCAACTGATCTTGCAGACTCTCTATTCATTCTTTAAAATGAGCCCCCAAAATCCACCCAGAGGCATGTGGGGCTCACATGTGTAGTGGGCAAGCACTGATGCTGTGTCTCTGCTGTACCCCCAGCCCCTGTTTGCTCAGGGCAGGGACTGTGCTGATGTCCTGTCTGCAGTCAGCCTCTGTGTAACGCAGCGCTCAGCTGGGTGGTGGCTATGAAGAAATGATACGTAGAGAGATGAATGAGACCGTGTCATCAAACGGATACAGATTTTGATCTCATCCCATCCAGCGAGGGATCCAGTTGCACAGCTGGTTGGCAAAGCTCAGAGGAAATTAGTTGCAATAGTATTTCAGCCGGTTTTGCACCAAATTGAAGGCATGCGTGAAGTGGCATTTTGTTCTGTAGCTCTCGTGGTACGCAGACTGAAATGGAGTTACCACTGACTGTTACCACTGAAATTGCTTTGCTTTTTAACAGTTTTGTACGGTACTAAGAAAAGTAGTTTTTTAGGAGACATTCTACACATAGTGGAATAGGAGGCTTTCCTGAAGGCTCTCCATGACCCTCATGCAGACTGCTGCTTGGTTAGGGCTGGCAGAATACCCTTCCTCTCCTTCTGTGGCGTGGAGATGCAGCGATGTAGCCGACTCCAGAGTTTAAAGAGTATCTAGTCAAACACTGTACATCCAGTTTAATAGCTTATGTACCTTCTTTATATAATACAATTCAGGATTTTACATCATTATATTGTAACAGTACAGAGAAAGATAAAACAGTAAAAGTGACTGAAACCTTAAAATTCTACCAAATCTTCACAGTCATTTGACTGTGCTACACTAGAAAGGAGAAATACCGAATATCTTTAGGAGAGAGGATTACTGTATGTTTTCTGGCTAATGTAAGTTCCACAAACCTGTGTTACCTATAAAATGAAATGTGTTTTTCAACTGCAGTTACAGGTGAGCGAAGCACTGTGAAGTGCTTTCCTAGTCACAGTATATTCAGCTGAACGGTTCCCAATATATCAAGCATAAAATAATTTATAGATTGATCATTATCCTGCTCTAAGATCAGGACAGATAAAAATTTATTTCAGTAACATATCTCGAGTTCAGAATGAAATGAGGAAAAGCATTAAGCACATATGACGTAGCGTGAAACCTTAGGGAGCATGGTATGGGACTAAGCTTACTTAATGGCAGCAAAAGTTCAGTGCCAAGAATTCTATAGTCACAGAAGAGCCTTACCTGTACTATATCAAAATCTGCATTTCGTAAGTGAGATGAAAATGAATACCCATGTATGGGAATATTAGTCTGTAGATTGTCATCTTTGTCTTGAAGGAGCTCTCTAACAGTCTGTAATGTATTTTTGAGAAAGGAAGGGAGCTTTAATTCTGGAATTATTTTGTACTTCAGAGAATTATTCCTTTTTGCTTCTTTTCACTGCAGAGAAACTTTGAAGAAGGGAGCTCAAAAAGCCTGTTAGTTTGGGAGCTCTGCATTTGCTTATTTAGAGCACTTGCAAGTAACACCAAAGTTTTCATGCATGCTAACTTTTCCAGTCACGAGAACCTTGTCAGTGTAGTCCTAAAAGGACTTTTTATTAATCTTGCTTGTGTATGAAGTAGAAAATACGATTGTTGGGTCAGTTATTATTCTGAGAAACATCTGGCAGGAGTTGAGCTGTACAGTACAGGGCAAGCCAAAGCTTTACCCCTTATAAAGCATCTGGAGACAGATCCTTACCAGAGAGCTTCTTTATGTCTTACGCTTAGAAGCCAAAACTGTAATGCCTGAACTTCCTAGCAGCCACATTGGGGTTGATGCCAGAGTTAAAGGTCACTTCAGATGATAAAGAACTGACCAGTTTTTAACAGCCTTCCCTTCTTCAAAGAGGTAATTGCTGCATTCTTCTACTTCTCCCTCTTCCCCCCATTATCAGGCTTTCTGCTTTAATGTTCCCTTACATTATTTTTCTTCTTGCAATCTTCAAGTTCACACACAGTGCTTGACTCCCAGAGTTACTGGAAGGTAGCAGGGAGGTGGGTGTAGAGGAGTCAGAGATGTGCAGTATTTAAAAGCCTGCAGTTGGAATGTCAGTTCTGGCTGATCAGTGGTGTCAGCCGTGAATTTAAACAGTGTAAAACTTACTTGGGTGATCCTGTTGCCAAAACACATTAAAATCTGGGATTATATTTATATCCTGTGTAAGAATAGACTGAAATAAATTATGTGGGTGCCACAAGAGTGCGTTAAAATCAAGGGCTGATTATAAATCTAGGGATTACCTGAAGGGACTTTCGGGGAGAACCTTCTGAGAGCTATTTAGACACTGGCTCCTTTTAAAATGAAGGCCATCGTGCATTGTAAGGTGACTTGCCTTAATTATGTTTCTGCTTCACTTTTAAGCTGTAAATCTGTCTAAGAAAAATGCTTCTCTGTGACTATAGTGCCTCGTCTCTTTCGTAAGGCCACTCTAGAATGGAGACTTGAATTGATTGTGTTACTGCAAGCTGAAAGGTGAAAGAATTACCAGGAGATCTGGGAGAAGAGATTTTAAGGGTACAGGTCTGCTCTCTTGTACTGGAATTTAGGTCAAAGATGTTGATGATACTTGATATGCTGAGTGATACATAAAAGGTGGTAGTTTGGGGGTTTAACATGATTTCCAGGGGAGTGAAGAGCAGGGATAACTGATCATTAAGTCTGTGAAACCATTCCAGGTGCCTGTCAGTCATCTAATACTGTTGTAAAACTCAGTTATATCTGAGATCTCCTCGTAAGTGTGGAAGATCCAGGACACTGCAAGGCTGTACTTTCCTGGAATGGCTGGAAGGGCAAAGCCAGACTACTTTGGGGCATCCTCAGTACTAATAGTTGAATATATTTGAGTACCTGAATCTCTTCTGTCCAGCATTAAATTGTTTCAGCAGTAGACTAAAACTATAAAAGCTTGGGTTGCTTGTTTAACCTGGAAAAGTGATGTGCTGCTAGGAAAATATATAGCTTCCCCCTCTAACTCCCCGTTTCTTACATTAAAGCTTTTATGTTCAGCAGGCTGACAATTTAGTGTGTATATTTTTAAATCATGAATTATGTCAATACTGTCAAGTTTGGTGTTGAATTTACATTTGGCAAATGTGAAGCGTTATACAACCTAAACTGCTAAAAATGTATGTGGAAACCCAAAAATCTCATGACTGCTTAATTTATTAGTGTTTTTCCTGGAGCTCAAAAGGGGGATATGAAGGTTTTCTTTGTAGAAACATGGTGGTTTCAGTAGAATAGATAAAAGCTTGTGTATGTTATTTAGTGTGTCGTCTTTACGTAGAATAGTGTAATACATTCTGATAACTTCTGCTTTCTAGTTCTTCATCAATATGGAATTTGGAAAGTATCTTTAGCAGTTGGTATTTTTTAAAAAAGGGAAAAAGAAAAAAGCCTTTTGATAAACTTAAATCCTTCAAAATTGCACAAATGGCAACCTGGAGTTAAAAGATTGAATCTTGTTTAACAAAACTAAAACTCTAAAATTGTAACAGTTACAGCAAATCTCCACTGGAATTTGAAAAGACAATTTTTCCAAAGCTTTTCTGTGTAATGTGTGCATCTTTGCCTTTTCCTTATTTGCTCCCTTTCAACTTTTCCTGTGACTGACTTGGGTTTATCTTTTCTCCCTTTAGAGAGTTTTGAGGTGACAGTCACCAAAGAAGGTGATGAAGGGTTCTTTCTATGCCTTTTATGAATATTAACCTACTAACTTTGGTTATGAAATGGGGAATCAGCACTTAAACAGAAGATCCTGTCATGTTCTTTTGTCCCATTTATTCTCCCAGTTTTTTTCTATTTTCAAATATATTGATAAAATCTGTATGTAACCGAACCCTTGGTTAGAAATATCTGTAAATCAGACATCCATTTGAACCACTTGGGATTATTGAACACTATATGGACACTGAAGAAGTTGTTTTGGGGCTAAATAGTGTTTTCTGATATTTCCACTGATAGCTTACTTCTTTGGGACATCTTTTTTCATATGCTTTGGAAAGTAATATATAACTGCTGAAGCGTTGTAACACCTTCCCTGCAGTGTACTTCAGCAGCTTAAAATATGAAATCAAATACATTTTACTGAATACCTCTAGCCATGTTTGCAGCAGGAGTGCATCCTTGGTACTGAGATACCACTGCAACTAGAATAGCAAAATAGTGGTTTATGTTGGTGTAAGAAAATCACCTTCAAGACAGAAGTTACACAGGTAAAAACAAAATACAGGTGATCAAAATGTTTGTTGAGTGCCTTTTGTCAGCACAGCTAGGTGTGCTAAGCTCACTCCCCATAACGGGCTGACAGATGGACCTAGTGGTGCAAGCAAGAGGTTTTGTAGTATCATATTAGGTTTAGATAGGGTTTAAAATGATGTATTAGGGACTTCTCTTGCAAGTTTATTAGGATGAAGAGTCTGAATAGAAGGGAAAGCCTACTAAATCATCCCATGTGAGAGCTTCCTTGACTAACAGATTTTGTCTGTGTTAGCAGATAGCTGTTGAAATGGATGCCTGAGAAGTTGGTATTTCTACCTTTCTCATTCAGTAGTTTATTTTGATTCCCTAATTTTAGCCAGGTACATTGCACAGGAAGACTTTGTTCCTTGATCTGTTGACAGAATTTCTGTAATTATGGTGCTGAACCTGTACTTGAAGCTTTTTCATCCCTTGACTTGTAACTGTGCATTTTAACCTTTTGCTCTGGTCAAAATGAACAAGCTGCCCAGCTATTCCCAGTAGCTTGGCATGGAAGATATTACCAGTGGCCTTGGCTGTATGCTCTCGTAAGATCTCTTACCCTAGAGCTATATCAAGTACTCCTGTGAAATGCCTGTCTACATTTCTCTTTTTCTCTTTTGTATTCCTGCATGAATGGATGCAAAGTAAACCAGTTGCTTGGAAGGCAGACGTATGCTTCTTTTTACTAAAGTTCCCAGATATCACCCATTTTAAAGCACAGTGCTCTTGCTTTGTCCACAGACCCTCACAAACCCTTGGCTGCAAAATATTTGGTCATTTATTTAAGAAACAAAATGAAAGTGTAATGGTTTTGACCAGTTCTAACCTCTCTTACTTTGAATCTGTAGGTGAGATTTGTGGATTTAAAATTCACGGGCAAAATGTTCCCTTTGAAGCAGTGGTAGTGGATAAATCCACTGGGGAGGGAATAATACGCTCTAAGGAAAAGCTTGACTGTGAGCTACAGAAGGACTACACATTCACCATACAGGCCTATGACTGTGGCAAGGGACCAGATGGAGCAAATGCAAAGAAATCCCACAAGTAAGTAAATCTGTGGTAGGCTGAGGGGAAGTTTGGTTTCAAGTGGTCTCCTGCTCATGGTGATTTATGGTCTGTGTATTTAGAGTAAATGTAAACCAAGTGTTACTACTGGAAGGCTTTAAGGGTATTACAAATAGCAGCAAAATGAGCATGAGCTGTTTTGACACCTCTTTAGCTGTGTTCTCAATGATCATACAGAATGGTTAGGGTTGGACCATAAAGCTCATTTGGCTCCTGGTAACTGCTTTATCCTTTGATGTCTCCGAATTTGCATTAGAAAGTAGTGTGGGGATAGAAGCAGGAAAACTCCTGATACAGTTAAAATCCATCTAGAATTGATACAGAGAGTTTGCATGGGATTCCAAGCCATTCATTGTTCCAGAGTTCAGTTTGTAAAACAAAAAACTGGTTTGAGAGGTCAATCTCTATTAAACTTAACCAAAATGGAAATGGAAACATGTTGCTGTCGTTTCCAGACAGCCTTGCTGAAAAAAGCCGGATCAATAGCATAAGTTTCTCTCTGCCTAGATTAAAGAACGAGAACAAAGCAATCTTCAGCTAGTCTTTATCTAAAGAAAAAACCACAATCTAAAATGCTCTTTAGAAAATCCCCTTGACAATAACAGTTTTAACACCCTGGTGTAAACATCTGCAGAGCATGTGGAAGATTACCATCTGTGTGAAGAAAAGGGCATAAATAAGATGAGGAATAGACAGCAGCAGTCATCTTGGTGACAAATATGACCTTGTTACTCTATAGCTGTATGCTTCAAATAGCAGAAAGTTATCTCCTTAAGAATTACACTTACAGAGAACTATGTGATATTCAATTTGACTTTTGAAGAAAGATTTCAAAGAGAAATAAGGCACCGCGTGTTTTATTGGGTTGGCTGGAATTATACCCTTTGGTTTGAGAGCGTACAGTTCCTTCTCTGCACTGTAGAACTTAACCTGTATTTTTCTGCCTGTGCTGGTTGAGATGGTTATCCAAATTCATGGCTGCGTAATGAAGCAGTGCAGATCTGGCAGCATGCTCTGCAGCTCTTCTTTACCCACAGCAGGAATGTTGGGTTTCTGAGACCTGCACCTACTGTGGAAATTTCCCTTGCCCAGTGCTGTCTGTGTGGTGGTTTTTTTGTGGCTTTTAACCATCTTGGGGTTCATAGGGTCACAGGCTGGTTTGAGTTGGAAGGGACCTTAAAGCTCATCCGGTTCCAAGCCTGGCCTTGAAAGTTCAGCTTGAATTTAGCTTTTAAGTCAGGAGTTTAAAGCTGTTTTATACAGAAGGCTGGGTTTTTTCATGACATTTATTGAGCACACAGGATAAAATAAAACCTTAAAGACTTTTGCTTTAATGGAAGGGCTGTAGCAATCAAATTCTGTATTAGTTTACATTCCATCATTCACCTTTTCTTCTTGGGCATTGGCAGAAACTGCATTATTTTCCTGTTCTATATATACCAGCAATCAATGACAAGTGTGAAATGATGTAATTCAAGCTGCTATGTGTTTAGGATAATCTGGCTTGGCTATATGATGTGTTAAAGTGTTTCTTCCACTTACGTGATTCTTCCATTTAAATTTCATTCCTACATCCAAGAAATAAGCCAGTTTTCACTGTCTTAGCCAGCTCAGTGCTTCATTAGCCAAAGCAAGCTAATTAAATGCACTTGACTGAGCTCTGAGTCTAAGACCAGTCTTAACTGTCATTCTTGTTCACATGAAATAAGAACTGGGTGTTTATATCAAGTACTCTGACAGCAGGAAAGAACTAGAAAGATGTTTTAACAGAAGTAAGAGCCTGTTTTGTCACAGCTGGGGTTTGTTGTATTTCTGTAAGACTGCGACAACTTAATGGTTGCAATACAAAGATTTGGATTTTATTTGCAAATAAACAACAGTAAGCAATAACCTGGAACTACACTGAATTCTGTCGCAGCACACTAGGAAAACATCCACTGCTTTCCTAGTTGGAGTGGTGGAGACTGGTTGTTTTATTAGTCATTGGTCAGTTTGTTCTGGGAACTGAAATCGTGAAGGACAGCTTCATCTGTACAAGAGGGAGCTTGTGCAGGTTGTGAAGGTCTGTCAGATTCCTTGCATGAATAGGAGCTGAGGCTATATAGGAACTGACCTTTCTGTTTTATTTCCAGAGCAACAGTACACATTCAGGTGAACGATGTTAATGAGTACGCCCCTGTGTTCAAGGAGAAGTCATACAAGGCAACGGTTATTGAAGGGAAGAGGTATGACAACATCCTCAGAGTGGAAGCAGTGGATGCAGACTGCTCCCCCCAGTTCAGCCAGATTTGCAGTTATGAAATTGTAACTCCGGATGTACCTTTTGCTATTGACAAAGACGGTAAGAAAATCGTGTGAAATGGAGTGGAAATTACTGTAATTTGCCACTCTAAGAATAGGACTTCAGACAGTTCAGCTTAAAACTACAGCAGGCCTGGTTTAACCCTTTCCTACAACATAGTTAAATGGAGGTGTTCAGCAGTTTGATAATGAGAAATGAGATGTCTTTCAGTGCCAACACCATGTGCTGCTGTCTGCTGATGTCAGGAGCAGATGGTGTGTTGCATGTTTGTTGTTTCTTGGAAAATGCTTTTCAAAATAAAGGTAGCTGTATTATGTTTCAAACCAGCTCCTAATAGGCATTTTTTCCCCCCAGCCCTATAGTTTTCTATTCCATTTTAGTATAGCTTTTAAAAACAGGATTCCCTGTGTGTGCTTTTAACATTTGAGATGCTCATGATGTGGCTCTGGAGGTTACAGTTACTGGTTTTGAAGTGCAGTGATTTGTTTAGGTTGTTCCTTTCCACTGGTAATCTGTGGACCCTTCAAGATCTATAGAACTATTTCTAGGTGTTCAAGCAAGCTGATTAATCACAGCAAACCAGTTTTTAGTGGGCTTTAGTTTGAGTTTTTGGGGATCCAATGGATAATTTTGGGGAATTGCCAATGGGTAATTGTCACAGGTGTGCAGATTGGTAATTTATGTATCAGTTACCACCTCTGAACAGTTTCATTTTGGGTAATATGCTATTCAGAGTCTGATAAGTATCTACCTGCTGTTCTATGTATGTGTGCTCATCTCTGGATTTATGTAGTTTTTAAGGATCTGCGCCTGATGTCAGGCATTGAAAACTCAAATAGTGAAGGGCTAATTCACTCCAGTTGTGTCTGTTAAAGTCTTGGGACCTGTATGAAGTACAGAGGTGGTATCTGGGTGTATTTAATGTGGCAGTGACCTTGAGAAATGAATAGAAATTGATGTCTTGATTATTGCTCTTTTTTTTTCTTTTATCAGGTTATATAAAAAACACAGAAAAGTTAAACTATGGTAAAGAACATCAGTATAAACTGACAGTAACAGCATATGACTGTGGGAAGAAGAGAGCTGCTGAGGATGTGTTGGTTAAAATTAGCATTAAGCCTACATGCAAGCCTGGCTGGCAAGGTTAGTTTCATCTTCTCCCTGTCTGCTTTTAGCATTTGCTGGTACATTCAGTTAAACATGAGAGACTGTTAATATTGTTCTTTGTATAAATATGCAGGCTGGAGCAAAAGAATAGAATACGAGCCTGGTACTGGTGCATTAGCTCTATTCCCTGGTATGCATTTGGAGACATGTGATGAGCCAGTAACCTCAATTCAAGCAACGGTTGAACTAGAAACCAACCATATTGGTAAAGGCTGTGACAGAGACACCTACTCTGAGAAATCCATTCACAGACTTTGTGGTAAGAATGCTTTTGTTCAGATCAAGTCACCTCTCTGTCTTAGTAGTTTTTCTTTGACTATTCAGTTTGACCACAAATCAGTTGAGTAGATATGGTCTTCATTGGCATGTAGTTTTCTAGCATGCAGTGAAAAGCATGGAATTGGCTGGAGGTGACAAAGTGATTCTCAAATGCAGTAAAGAATCACTTTCTTCTGCCTCTCCACTAGCTTATATAGACTAATAATTTCTTTCACTTGAGATTCATGTTCCAAGAGCTGAAATACTTTTAAGTATAAGGAAGGGTTTATCCATTAAAACCTCTCTGTTTTTCCTGGAGCATAATGATGGAATCTTACAAGGGTTTGAGTCGGAAGGGACCTTAAAGGTTATCTAGTTCCAGGCCCCCTGGCCTGGCCAGGGACAATGATGGATGTGAATGATGCAGTTAAAAAATACATGGTGAAAAAGCAGATGGAAAACCAGGGAAGTGTGCTTTGGAAAGAAGAGTTTACTTGCATCGGTTACATCCATGCTGTGCTCATCCTGGGAATTAAGGGCACCTTGGTATCCGCATACCCTGCAGTTAAAGATCCTGTGAAAAGTTTATGAATCCTTTTTAGCCAATATGGAAGAATGGAGATGAGATGAATTATCATTAATGATTTGCATCTTCAAATTCATTTGAAGTTAGTTGAAGGTATGAATAGATACCCAGGCTATTCCCTAATGATGTCACTGTGACATTAATGATTTAGGCTTGAAAAAACAGCAGTCTGAGTACCTGCTGGGTATCATTGCTCCTGCCTGTGATATTATTGGACAGTGATCTGGGATGGAATGCTTATACAGCCTTCTTCAACTGGATGGATACTAGTCTTGCCACTGGTGCACTGTTAAGAGAAAGGCATCATGTTCATGGGCCTGAGGGACAAGTGGTATTCATGTAATGGTTCTTGTGAGAGAGTCAAAATAAGGCTCTACAGCTGCAGAGATAATAAGCAAAACAATTCTAATGAGATGAGTTGTCTACCCAGAAGTTAAATTTATAGAAGTCATTGTGATTATTACATGTTTCTTATTAATGCCACCTTATTTAAAGGGAGAATTGCCTGGTGGGTGGTGGTAGTGCATAATCCTGACGGTGCTCAGCAAACCAGTTTGGTTTGAAAGTAGCAGTGACTACTTTAGTTTCTACCTTTTTTTCATTTGAGTGTTTTTGTTGTAGGTGCTGCTTCTGGCACAGCTGAGCTACTTCCACCTCCAAGTAGTGCTGCTAACTGGACGATAGGACTTCCTACAGATAATGGTCATGACAGTGACCAAGTCTTTGAATTCAATGGCACTCAAGCTGTGAAGATTCCAGATGGCGTTGTCACAATCAATCTAAAAGAGCCCTTCATGATTTCAGTATGGATGAGGCATGGGCCCGGAACCAAAGAGAAAGAAACAATTCTGTGCAATTCAGACAAGACAGGTTTGTCAATACTTCAACTGTAAATGATCTCACTGTTGGGTTTGCTTGGATTTATATGCTGGGGCAGCATCTGTGAGATCCTTTATTTTTTTTCTCTAGTTTAGATTTTTCTTGGAAGTGAAATGAATTGTGAAAGTCACTTTTTCTTGTGCTTACCTGTAGTCATGGCCTTAGATTGTCTAGCTTCAGATTAGGCAGACTTGTTTTTCTAGTTCTATTTCAGTTTACATCATGCATTTCTTTGCTGTGGTAGATGACTTATCCTTGCAGTGCAGTCTTGATTTGCATCTCCAAAAATAGCCTTTTTCTTGATACTGCCTAAAATCATTCAAATACATATTTCAGGTTTAGTGACAGCATTTGTTGCTGTATCTTTCTTTATAAGAGGAGATAATTTCTCTCCCTCCAGTGATGAAATTTTTCACCCTGTGCATAATCTCTGTCTCTGTGAATGCTGCAGACACAATCATTTTAGAGATGCTATTAGTAAGAAGCAAATCTGATAACCCTGTTTCCCTAATTGCTGTCTAATGGGGGTAAAAGAACTCTTGGTTTTGTTAGCTGGCGCAGTGGATTTGTTCAGTGTATTAGAAAGATACTTCATTTAAAATGCTGCTGGGTTTTTCAAAGGAAACTACATTGAATAGATTTTAAGTTTTATTTGAAAATAAGAAAGATCTAACAGTATTTGTAATATCCTAAAAGCATTTCTTTGAACAGGAGAAAAGTGACTGTCATGCAGAAGTAGGTACAGGTATTCTCCTCTTCTGCCTGCCTTCACCTATTCTTGTTAACCAAAACCCATACTTTTGAATTCATGGAAGTGAATGAACGGGAGAAAAAAGGCAAATGTAAATACAGCTTTTCCTGTTTCAAAGTACACGGGAAGCAGACCTTCAAAACAAGTTTTCCTTTCCTATTCCTTGGTTTGCCCTTACCATATAATTTTGGTCACAGGTAGTTTCTGGTAGTACAGATATTTGCCTTCGTTTCAATGGTGTATGATGCCATATTGAAAGACTAGAACTAGGCTTGTTACAGGGAGGCAATTTTGACTAAATTGCACTGAACAGCACAGTCAGATTTAATGCGGTCAGGCTGAAAGATTGACATGATTTTGGTGTGTTTTTCATTCCCTCCTATCTTGACTCCCCCATGCCATGGAATGGATGGTGTAGCCAAAATGTTTCTTTTCCTTTTTCTTACCTGTTTCTCTAGCATTTCACCTTTGTATTCATTTGAAATGATCAATCCTTCCCAGCTACAACTACATAGTTTTCTCTTAGGAAAGCACGTCTACCTGCCATCATGTGTACATGTTTCAAAACAGTAACTAGATATGATAGAAGCTACTCACTTGGAACAAAAAAGCTCTTCTGTTTGCAAACAGAGCTGTTTCTCTTTTCCTCCCGCTGGCAGGCTCATCTGTGACGCGTCTGTTTGTTGTACAGTGGATTACTCATAGGTTCTTTAAAGGTGCTCACCCTAACTACCGTTACAGATGTTTTGTGTTCCTTTTAAAAGGTCTGATTTACTTCCACATTTGTTTCTTCCAATCAGCTACATGGGAATTTACGTATGAAATTGCAGAACAGGTGAATTTTGTGGGGTCCTGAAGCTTTACGGAAAATAATGATGTTTACTTGAACCCCTCATGCAGATATGAACCGGCACCATTACACGCTCTATGTGCACAACTGCCGACTTGTTTTCCTTTTCCGCCAAGATCCTTCAGAGGAAAAAACATACAAACCTGCCGAGTTTCACTGGAAACTGAACCAAGTAAGTTTGGAAGAAGGCTTGGTAGGATGTTAGAATGCAGTGAAAGCCATTGGAGACCAAACTACCTGACAGTATAATATTAATAAGTGCTTTTAGCAGCTCCAGACTCCTGGTGTCATGTTTTATAGGACACAACAGTACTTATTTTATTGGTGATCGGGTGTCAGATATGCAGCTTCACCTTTTCATCTTGAACATAAAACGCTACTGTAGTGGTTTTGCTAAACCCAGTGAAACTCACGAATCAAAGTACAAGTCATTGTCTTGAAAGGTAGGGAAATGTGGGTTTGTATGTGAAAATACAATGTTAGTCTCTTAGCTGTGATGGCAGTTCTCTTCGCCAAATACATAAGGTAGTGTGCATGAGAAGGCAGGAAGTATTCCAGTTTATAGCATTAAAATAGGATAACAGAAGAACTTAATCCCTTTACACACTGAAATAAAATTTGTGACTCTTTACACATTGTGAGCAGTAGCTACAAATCAGGCTTCTTAATTAAGTTTTACTCCACAAAGAGTTAATAGGCCTCTAGGGATGCAGGTACTTTCTGCTTCCTGTTCACAAAGAGGTTGTCTGTTTTCTTTCAGTCATATATATACTTAATCATTTTAGATGCGAGTATGAAGGGTTTAATAACTAATCTTCACTTTGGTCCTGTTAAATACTGCAGAACTTAGTTCTATAAACTCATTATGTTTATGATCATGAAGAGTGAGACAGATGGAGCTGTGTGCTTTTCTAGCCCTCTGGATCTGAGTGATAAAATAACACTGTATATCTGTAAATTGATAAAGGCTCTTGTAATTGCTGTAGGTTACTGTTACAGGTCCGTTTTGCAAGTTACCTAAGTGATGAGTTACTTTCTAATGTCTAAGGCTCTTCTATTTTCTGTGCAGGGCAATGTTTCCTGTTTCAATGGTAAAATGCCCATATATGCCCTTATGGGAAGATTGTTACTTTCCAAAACTAGTCGGCTCTCACTGTAATTCTATTATGGAAGGCTTTTTTTCTATTCAAATCAGTCACATTTTTCTCTCAACAGTCCCTCATAGCCAACACAGATCCTTTATCAAATAAAGTTGTATTATAACTATTTCAGAAGGTTCTGGCTTGTAGATACATATTTTTACATTGAAATATGCTGTTATTGAAGGAACAGAACTACACACAGCTTCCAACATTGGCAATAGAAGAAAAGAAATAATTTGTAGATACTTGACAGCTGGTTTGCTTGTCAGATGCATGCCATGTGTGTGAGACAATGTGTGTCTGTACAGGCTTAGAGGTCATTGGTGCGTATGCAAAATGAGTACCAGATCAGTTCCTCAGGTGTGATTAAAACCCAAAATAAAAGTAGAATGTTTAAAATTGTCTTCACTCAGGTGTGTGACAAGGAGTGGCATCATTATGTTGTCAGCGTGGAATTCCCAGTGGTAACTCTCTACGTGGATGGGGTTTCCTATGATCCTTTCCCAGTGACTGAGGATTACCCACTTCATCCCTCAAAGATAGAGACGCAGCTAGTAGTTGGAGCGTGTTGGCAAGGTAACTCTTCACAACAGTTAATACTTTTAGCTTTGTGAAAATGCAGGCTTTGTGGTCAGCCTGGGAGTACTTGTTTCATCTTCTGCAGATTATTTTTCTGACTAGTTATTGTGACATATTTCCTCTTTTAGTCATTTTTCCTTGAGTGGGTTCTTGCTCGTTGGCCACAGGTGCATGTGAAATAGGAAGCTATTCACCAAGCACATCCCATCAAAGTGATTTTTGTGGTAACCATGGGAATAGAGATGGCTTATTTTTAATAACAGTTGTAAAAGTACATCACAATACTTCAGATTACTAAGCAGAACACTTGATTTCAAGTAGGTTGAAAAACATACGGTGGAAAGCATTCTTGTAAATGGAGGCATGACCTGCAGACAATTCAGCCAAGCAGCACAGTGATGCTGTCTCTTGGATATTTTGCCATTTCTGCTTATAAAAACAAACATAGAAAGCATCTGCTTTATTGTATGCAGACTATAGCTTAAAACACAATATTCTGCAGACTGTAGAATGCCGATTCATGTGCCCTGATCCTTGTGAAACCTACTCTTCAAAGCTTGAGAAAAAGGAGGAGAATGCATCTGAACTTGGATGCTGATTATCAGAGATCTTTGTAACAAAGGTCTTGTGTCACAGTCCTGAACCGAAGTGTTTGCTTACTGATTAAATTACACCCTAGCTGGTATAAAGCTGATCTTTTTGGTCAGAGATAAAGCAGTGTTAAATCATTCATGATTTACTGTAGTTCAGAATACAGGCTGTAGTTACAGTCTGCAGTAATTCATAGAAGTAGCTTGTGAATGAATGAGAAATGGAAAGCTTTTGAGATATTTTAATTAAGTCTTCAGTATTATGTCTGTTTTCTCTTTTAAGAGTTTTAAGCCTTTCAAGAGTGAATGAAGGTTAAATTACCAAAATAAGCTCTCCATCAAATTTACTGTTTTGTGACAAGTTCACTGTCTTCCAGTATTAATGTTATCTTGGTGCTAAACTCGTTCTGTTGTCCCTTCCTCTGAGTCAGTTATTTTCCCCATCATTCATCTCATTCTGTTTGTGACTTTCCAACTCTTTCTTACTCAAAGAGAAGCTATAGTGGCTGGTTTTCAAGAAACTGGAGCTTGGACTCTCTGTTCCAGCTAAGTGTGTGGATTGTGTAATGGCTTCCATGTATGTTCTGCGCCCTAACAAAGGCATATACATTTACTTTAAACCCTGTGCTTTCATATTGGCACAATTATATGATTCTTTAATTTCTTCTGACATGAATTTTCTCTTTAATGACAGCAGACTGAAGTAGGAGCATTAAAATTCTGGAATACAAGAACTTGAGGTGCTACCTTTTTAAAAATTCCACTAAAAACCTGATTTTTAGGGATTAGAACACAAAGGGGTGGGGAAAAGAAGGCCAAAGGAGTGAAGTTACTGCTTAAGGCCATCGTCTTTGTCTTACCAAGATCTGAAAATAGCTCGGGCTGCTCTAAGTTACAAACACAGCTCACATCTAAGGAGAGAGATTTTATGCTTTTGAAAAAGTTCTTTTGACATTTCTTTTAAAAGATTAAAAGCTGTTTTCCACTTTGTGTTTCTCCCCTGAGACGCTTCCATCTGACAAATTGACTGCTTAATACCGGTAATACTATTATTATGATAAAAATTCTGTGTTGGTAATGGCTGGTTTTGATCAGCATTTAATACCTTGTGGTGATTTGCTGATTACAGGCAGGATTTCACCTTACATTCCCCTTTAGTAGCTGGGAGAGAAGGAAATCAATTGACCAGTTGATCGGCCTCTGTCTCATCACTGATAGCGGCTTGTGTGAGATTGGGTATCTGTGGGTAAAGTGTTCTCCAATGGGACTGCTTCCCTGCAGCTTGTGTATGGGGCTCTTCAGGTTGTCTTGTCATGAATGTTATGGTCTTGTAACGACATAGCTGCAACGCAGGGAAGAAGCATTACTATTCATGTTGCAAACAGCTTGTAATCCTTGAGAAGCTGGGTCAAGTATGAGCAGGCTTTGGGGAGGGAAGTGCTGCTTTGTATTTCTGTGATAAGAGAGTTTGCCGAATTATAACTACTTGGACTTTTCCCTGTTGTCCTATTCTTTGTCTTGCTTTTCTACAGAATATACAGGAAATGAAAATGACAATGAAACTGTGCCTGAGACCTCTGCAGGTTGCTGGAGTTTTTTCCCTACTGTTTTGTTTCATTTTTAAGCCAAGACATTGCTTCATCTCGCACACAGCATGAAATGCAGGCATTGCATTTGGGCCATTGACCTTCACATAATCCTCTCCTAGGCTTGTTTCTTCATCGTGCTTCTATTTCCAGAGCTTCATCAGCTGATTTTATTTTTTTTTTGCTTTCTTTTTATTGGTTTGGTTGTTTTTTTGGTTGCACCCAAATGCACATCCATGTACAAATCTGCGACCACTGTGATTGCAGTGAAGTGGTGTAAAAAGAAGTCATTGATGTAAAATAGCAGCTATAATGTCTTTCAGGCAGTTCTGTTAAAACATATCTGCACCTCATCCTGTTATAGATATAGATACAGATACATGTAGGTGTGTGTGATCATAGAATTATTCAGTAGGTTGGGAAAACCCTGTGGAAGTCAGGTAACTGCTCCCCACTTAGAGCAATACCAATTTCATATTTAGATCAGGTTGCTCCTATATAACTCAAAGACCTAGAATTTAAAGTGGATACTCATTTGATAATAAATTGATACAAAGTTCTAATGACAGTGAATGGGCGTAAAAGCTTTGGCTCCCAGGTGTTTCAGGTTGGCTGCAGAACTGTGTTTTCTTGGAAGGTTTTACTGATAGCTCAGTGGATTTTGTGCCTTGTGTTCAGACACTTAAAATGAGCGTGTGTTTCTCAAAGTGTATTTGAAATCCTACTTGTTCTGTGAAGTTGAATGGTCCAGATGTAGTTGAGAACAGGTTTCTGGCTATGCATCACGTTTTAATTTGACAAGGAGGCAACAGAAGCTGGAGCTCTGTAAATCTAAACTGGAAAATACATCATTTGTAACAGCACAGTTCACTGCTGAAAACTGTATTGAATTGTGCCAGGGATCTTCTATCACTTGGAATCTTAAAAGGAGCTCAGACATCTTTCTGAAACTCTGGTAGCTTAGCAAGTGATGACCTTGAAATCCAGTTCCTGGGTGGTGTTCTGTGGCCCCCGTTGTTTAGCAGGATGGACTCGGTGGCCATTGGGATGTCATCCTCAAAAAGTCTGAGCAGTGAGGAGCTTATTGAGTTGTAGCTCATTTAGACTTAAATACCTAAAAATGAGTTGCCTGAGCTTAGACTGCTTGCTTTAGTCCATAGAGAGAAGGTGGCACCTTTACTGGGGAGCAGACACCTTTTTGAGAATGAGCTGTGTCACTTTGTGAAGTGTGTTTCTATCCTTCGAGTCTAAAGAGAGTCTGTGTTGGTCAGTTTAGATGTAGATAACATCTACAGGAAGGATGCTCTTGTTTTTTATCCCAGTGGGATTGCCCTTCTTGTAGAGAACCAAGTAGCAGGAAGCATTACCTCAACTTGAAGATCCAGGTTTCATGGTCCATCTCATTGGTTGTCTGTCCTTTCTGAAGAACACCACCTCGCTGTACGGGCGATGTCGTTTGAAGTGTTTGTTACAGAAATACGAGCCTGAGTTTCACAGTTCGAGATGGCCCCACGTGTTTTGAAGGCCATATGCATGGGGAACTGTTGAATTCTTTCTTTATGCTTGAACATAATCACAAGGTTAACACCCAGTGTGGATAAAAACTAACCTGCATGTGTATAATGCTTCTGTGGTACCAGAAGGCATTTTTGTTGTATTGCAAAAGAAGAAACTGAAAGAATCGAACCATGTAAGGATTTTTCCTTCCTTCCTCCCTCTCTGAAGGTGGTGAACTCCGCATGGCTCAGTTTTTCCGAGGCAACCTGGCGGGTCTGATGATCCGTTCTGGTAAACTGGAGAATAAGAAGGTGATCGATTGCCTGTACACGTGCAAGGAGGGACTGGATTTGCAGATGGCTGATGGTGTTGGCAAAGGCGTGAAGGTAAAATTGCATGTGAATAAGGGAGTGTGTGTGTTGCTTTGCTGGTAATAGTTAGGAGTTTTGCTGGCAGAGCTGGTAGGGGTGTCCCAAAGAAAACAAGTTAATCTGTTGTGACATTCTGCAGTAAAATCACATGAAAACTAGGAAATCTTTCTTGTATACACATGGTCTTAGTGGAGTTTAAAGACGGAAGTTACTGTGTTCTCTTCAAATCTTGAAGAGAAAATCCATATTTGTAAGCCTCTCTGTTTCAGCAGCTATACCAGTTTGACTAATAAAAGATATTCTACTAAGCTGCTTGTTAAGAATGAGACTTACCTTGCATGCCTTTTTTGGTAGCAAGGATGTGTGAACAGAGCTGAATTTCTCCTTTATATTAGCTGTCTCTCTACATATTACTATAATGTCCACGTCAGAACTCTGCTAAGTGTCTAGATATTAAAGAATGAAGCACTAAATATATTCCACTGAAATAAGGAAGTGAATAGGGAGGTTAAACTGTAGTGCAGGGCCAGTAAGTAATGGCCTTACTGCTTTGAATATAGGTGTAATTATCCTAGTGTTTGCCAGGCTAAGCAGTGCTGAACTTTCCACTTTTAATTGTTAGATTGTGCTGCTGTTGGGGCATTCTCTTTGATGCTTTCTCTGTTACTTCAGATCCACATGAACCCGAGTCAGTCAACGCTGACTGTGGAAGGGGAAGACATTGACAGAGTTGACAAGGCCATGCAGCACATTTCCTACCTGAATTCCCGCCAGTTCCCAACACCTGGGATTCGGAGGCTTAAAATCACCAGTGTTGTCAGGTATGTCCTAGTGCTGAAATAACGTGTCACTGTACAGTGATAACTGAAGCCTGAACGATGGTGGTGTATCTCCATTGAGATAAGTAAGGGAGTCTTGTGTGTAACTATCACACATTTGGATACAATAAATGTTTTCTGCACCAGCACCCTTGTTTTCTTCCTGAGAATGTAGTAAGGAGTGTGTAAGAGAAGGAGAAACTTAAGCAATGATATGCTGTGAGTATGCCTCCAGTATCAGAGTCTTCATCAAAGGTATTATCTGTGGCTCTTAGTCACAGCATTAGAAAATGGGCCAAACATTAACTGTAAGTAAAAGGTAATTGAAAGATTGCTCCCTTGGTGGGGAATTCCTGCTTTCCAACACAGTTGATGAATTTATCTCAGACTCTTGGGTGTGAGACAGAGCTCTTCAAAAATTCATAAAGCAATTACCCTGCATAATTGTGCCTCCCTCTGAAATAGCCTCCTTAACTGTGCGAAACTGCTGCTCTGTCTCATAGATGTTTCAATGAAGATGCCTGTGTCTCCATTCCTTCTGTGGAGGGATATGTAATGGTCTTGCAACCAGAGGAACCGAAAATCAGCCTTAGTGGCATCAACCATTTTGCCCGCTCTGCTTCAGAGTTTGAGAGCTCCGAAGGTGTTGCCCTCTTTCCTGAGCTTCGCATAATAAGCACCATTACACGGGAGGTGGAGCCAGAGGGAGATGGAGATGAAGATCCTACAGGTAACATCCTTTTCTGCTTAGGGCTGTTGCCTGCTCTCACCCCATTCAGTGATCATGTTGGGGGATCTTCCACTTGCAAAGAGGCATGGGTTTCTCTTTTCATACAGAGTCTAGTAGGGGAAAAGAAGCTGTAGGTCTCTTGTGAGAAGGTTTAGGTGCTCTGCTCTGGGCTGACAAAAGTCTTTCTGGAAATAGTAGTAAGCCCAGGCCACTATCTTCATGTAAATATCCTGTATTTGTATATGTATCTTTGTATTTGGTATCATTTTTTAAATCACTGTTTAATGAATACGTGCTCTCCTCACTTGAGGCTCAGATCTTAATATTTGTTCTGGAAAAAGGATTGAGTTTTGATAGCCCCTGGGCTCTTCTCTACTTCACCTTTTGTTTCTCTTACCTCTGTCCTTTTCTCTGCTTTTCAGTACAAGAGTCGTTGGTATCTGAAGAGATCATGCATAACCTGGATACGTGTGAGGTGACAGTGCTAGGAGAAGAGCTGAATCAGGAACAGGAAAGCCTGGAGATTGATATGACACGGTTACAGCAGAAGGGCATCGAGATGAGTAGTTCCAACCTGGGCATGATAATCACAGGTAAGGGTTACTGCTTCTGGTCTGTTTCTCTGAAGAGTCTGAAGACAGTGATAATGGGAACAATGTGCTAGAGATGATTTATAACACCTTACTCTTTTATACTTTGGTTTTGACCAGTTTCAAGCTCAGATGTGTTCTAACTATTTTGTGGAAAGCTAGAGTCTAGAAAATACGTCATTCTAGACCCTCCATTGTGTTCTTCTCTCATGTCCCAAACTGCAGGTTATCTCTGGACTGTAGAAATGAAGTGCATTTGGCCCCAGAAAACGCCTTTTCCTTGCACAAGTAGTCCAGCGCTTAGGAGCATGCATTATTCCTTTCTATTTTATATTCAGAATATGCTGATGTACTCAAAAGAAAAGCTCCCAAAATCCCTTCGAAGTCTAAGTAGGTCTAGGATTTTATCCCAGAATCAATCCATAGGATTCCAGTGGAGCTGACATACATGCCAGCCAAGAAAACTTACTTAAAGAAAGGGAGTAATGTTTGTGGAGTGTATGATGTTGTGCTCGTCCTTTGCAAAGTAACTTGTACTTGTTCATCTCTCTCCACAGGGGTTGATACTATGGCTAGTTATGAAGAAGTTTTGCACTTGATACACTACAGAAACTGGCACACTGCTTCCCTCTTCGACAGAAAGTTCAAGTTAGTGTGTTCTGAGCTTAATGGTCGCTACGTCAGCAACGAGTTTAAAGTGGAGGTACGTAAGCTAAGTGATCACCGAGAAGTTGTAGAGTGTGGATGGCTACGAGGGAAGTTGTTGCCTCAACTGGTGGATAATTGATCAGTCATTGACTTGGATTATTGCCCTGTAAATAAATATTAACCAATGATTGCATTTCAGGCTGCATCTTAAATATAACCATGTTCTTAATCCTACATTTCAGCCTTAAATAAGGCTGCCTAAACAGGGGTTTGGCTGGTATGGCTAATGGAAGTGTGAAGGTGAAAAGGAAACACAGGGTATTAATTTAGCAAAGAACTAGTAAACAGAGTAAGGGTGGTGCTATCAGAGACTTGTGTGGCCTTCATGTGTAACTTCTGGGATTCTGCAAATGGAATCGCTAGGCCCTTCACTGTTTAGCCTGTGGGATGCTTAAATTACTGATAGTAAGGGTTTATGTAAGGACACAGGCTAATATTGCATTTCCTGTGCAGTAAAGTACAGGCTAATTGTTACTTAATATGCATATATGAACTGTATTGAAGTCCAGCAGAAGATAACGTAAAGGGCACCAAAATTTCAGATGCTGGAGCATAAAGTTACTTATATGGAGAGGAACTGTCACAGATCTCTGCATCTTTCAGCTCTGACCTTGAATTTCTACACCTTAAGGCTGACCGGAGGGATGGCAGTGAAGCTAATAGTATTTACTGCTAGTTGGGTGGTTGTGGTGTGCTGGGGAGCCTCCTGTGCTGCAGAATGGAAATCTTTGTGTTCAGTAACGTGGGTTTGTTTCCTGAGGAAATTCTGCGAGCTCAAGTTGGGATCTTAGCAAACTGTTGAGCTGCAAATGCTTTCCTTGTCCTGTAGTAAATGCTCTCTTCCTGTTGTGCAGCTGGTCAGGTACCCGGTATCACAGTGTTCCACTGCAGGAGGGTATATTTAGCTCTGCTTGTTTGGAAAGGAAATGTGAAATGTGTGGTGCATAGGATGAGCTTGCAGTTGTTCCTAAAAGCCAGTGTGGGTTAAACTGGAAAGAATGGTTTTATTCTTCTCAGCCCTTTGACTCTAGTAAGGGTATTTTCTTTGCTGTTAGTGGAAGATACACAGCAAATAAGATGGGAGTGAAGAAATCAGCATATTACAGATCTTTCTAGATGCTTGTAGTTCAGGATAAAAATGGCTGGCTATCAAATTTGATTATAAAATGGCTTTATGTGTTTTGTGCTGAAGTACTGGTGTCTGTGCATAAAACAGATTTGAGAGCTGTGAAACTGGAGGGGTTTGTGACAAGGAATTGTAACATGAGGAGCTACTGCTAGGGATGGTTGTCCCCTGAGACAAGGCGTTGTTGTGTTGAAGGAGAATTGGATGCCTGCTCTGGGAAAGAGATATTTATTTATATTAAATATATTCTATATATTTGTTCTCTCTTCAGAAGTAACTGCTGCATTTCTGGAGCTTGATGTTTTCTTCCTGTTCCTAGGTGAACGTCATCCACACCGCTAACCCGGTTGAGCACGCCAATCACATAGCTGCACAGCCGCAGTTCGTGCACCCGGTGCACCACACGTTTGTTGATCTCTCTGGTCACAACCTGGCTAATCCTCACCCATTTTCAGGTAAGAATTCTCAGTCTCTGCAGTTCAGCTGTGGTTTTCTGGTGTTAAAATGGTACAGAGGCTTCTGGCTGCAGAGAGGTGTTTAACCCACTGTGCTGCACTAATAGTCTTAAGCAGCTACTCAGTCCTGTTCTGCCCTTGCCCAGGTAGGGAAGGGATTAGTAGAGGTCTGTGAAATACAGTCTCTTCCTTGGCAGATGGGAGGTGTACCAGTCTCGAGGGCACTGTAAGACCTGCAGCAGTATTTGTTCTGCATAGCATGAGCAAAGACATGCAGTGCTATTCCCTTGATGGTATCTGTCCTTTCTGGCTTAATTATGTTAATTTGGCGTGGGTATGGGATATGAGGAAGAAAACCAGGCAGTTTAGAGAGGAGAGTCTGTGTGTGTGTGGTGGCATCTGCTTTCCATGTGTTGTCAGTCCTTCAGATTGATGTAATTATACTTAAGGAACTAGGTTTTAGTTCTTAAGGCTCCAGCTGCCTTTTTAAGAGGCCTCAGCCAAACTGCCTCTGTGCAGCTACATCTGTCTGTATTATGCCATTTCCCTCTTGCAGGAGCAGAGGACTAGTTACTAGCATTGTGTAAGAGTTACTTATCAACATCAGCTAAGAAACTCCTTTTATTTTCTTGTTGCAGTCGTTCCAAGCACAGCCACTGTTGTGATTGTAGTTTGTGTCAGCTTCCTGGTTTTCATGATTATTCTGGGAGTGTTCCGAATCCGAGCTGCACATCAGAGAACGATGCGTGACCAGGACACTGGAAAGGAGAACGAGATGGACTGGGATGACTCTGCTTTGACCATCACTGTGAACCCCATGGAGGTAACACTGGTGCCTCAGCCCCTAACAAAAAAATGGTCTTTTGCAGCTGTATTGGGAGTGATGGACACAGTGGAGCGAAACAAAGCGCTGAACCCAGAGTAGAGACACGAGCTGTGAGTTTTTAATGAAGTGATAAATGCCAGGAGCAGTGTTTGGGATCTTGCAGGGGTTACAGCTTTAGGATGCCTAATTGGGTTTACAGGCCAGTGTCCAACTCTGGTGTTCATTGTGCTGCATTAACCACACTCTGCCTTTCTTCAGCTGCAAGGCTTTATTGTTGAAACATCCGTGTTTATGATGTTTTGTTGTGGTTGGTATCTGAATTGAGAAGATCAGGAACAAGATGTGCAGCCTCTGCTCAGTGTGTGACCCTACTGGAAGATCTTTTCCATTAGCGTTTGAACGACTGGCTTGCACTTCAGAATTAGTTTGTTCAGTGTGACAGGGTTGATAGCAGTGTTACAAAGCTGTTGTAAAGAGCTCTACTTCCTTTTTCTTTCCTGATTGCCTCTAATTGCTGCTGAACTCTAAACCCAGTAATGAATCTGTAGCAGCTCTTTTCTAATATGGTGCCTTGTGCCTGAGTTCAGAAGAATAAAAAGAATTTTAGCCATGAAATCAACAAGTAATTTCTGTCTTAACAGACTTATGAGGATCAACACAGCAGTGAAGAGGAGGAGGAGGAAGAGGAAGAAGAAAGTGAAGATGGAGAAGAAGATGACATCACTAGTGCAGAGTCTGAAAGCAGCGAGGAGGAAGAGGGAGAGCAGGAGGAGGACCAACAGAATGTTAATAGACAGCAACAGCTGGAATGGGATGACTCTACCCTCAGTTACTGATTCTAGCTGTTCCCTTTGTCTTTATGTTTCTGCTCTAGAAGACTCCACTGTAACACACTCCATTGTTACCAAGGATTCATGGTGTTTAAACAAAACAGAATTCATTCTGGCCAGTAGATTCGAGCCCCACACATCCCCGTGTTTGTGTTCTGTCGGCTAGTTCCTGATGCTGTTCCTAGAGCTGTAGTTAGCCCCTCTCCTCCTTCAGCCATGCCTCAGTGACTGGATTTGTTTTTCCGCTATGTGAGGAACCACCTTGCACTTTTCTCTTCATGTCATCTCAGCTGGCTGACTCGACAGGTCTGTAGCCATTGCACATGAATTTCTGAACTGTCTTTTTTTTTGCTCAGTGAAAGGAACTTGGCTTTGTTTCCTTATTTTCTCTTTCTAAACGATGCAAAGATTGCTTGTCGACAAAGGGTAAAGCTGCTCCGTTCAGCCTGTTGATTTGTTTTCTTTCCCCCAAATTAGTGCATGTGTAAAGTGGCAGAATGAGGATAATATGTAGAAGATTAACAGACTTTTTAATATTTTGTAAATATCTTGGAATTATGTAATTATGTCATTTGTGGTAGTGAAAACAGGGATTTGGGGTTTCAAACATGCTCAAGTAAAGCAATCATGCAGCATGAAATATTACAAGTCTTGTACTACTGCAGCAGGAGCACGGGCACCGTGACCTAGTGTAGATGTTTCAGTAACACAGTGTCATTGGCCTTGACTGCCATGTTCGCTCATGCCCCGCTCTGGTCTTTCTTTAGTTCTTCTTTCCTTTTCTTTAATCTCCTTTATTTTTGCAGAGGGAACAGAAGCTGGTGAGGAACTGTAAAGGCTTCAGCATCCTCTGCAGAGGTTCAGCTGCCCTGTGCAATACACTTTGGTTTTTCTTTTCTTTTCTTCTCCAGTTAACTCTTGGCACGAGGGTGTTTAAGTTATTGGGGTAAAAACACTACTTGGATGGTGGGCAAAGCAGCGTGTGGTTGCTGTGGTTACAGTGAGGCTGCCTGCAGTACCGAGATGGTCTGCTTGTACTGTGGGCAGGGAGGTTAGTTGTTTAGTTGTGGATATGTTGGCACCTGAAGGTGGGAAGCGTGAGACCTGTGCACCGTGGCTGTGTCTGCACAGCTCGGCGTGCTGGCTGGCTGCCTGCTCAGCTGCCTGCTTTGGGGCATAGCTGATACCAGTTGATGAAACACAGCTGATACCAGTTGATGAAACACACTCCTGCTCATTCCCTGTAGGCCCTTGTACAGTAACTGGGACTGTTGGTGTGTTAAGCCTTTGTTTACACTTAGTAATTGTGTTTTCCTGCTGGTGAAAAACTATAGCATAAATTATCCAACCAGAAAACCTTGGGAATCGTGTTAATACTGTTCCAAGTGCAGATGATTTTGGTTATTTCCGATCAAAGTTCAAACTTGGAATTGCAAAGGACTTTTCTGAATAGCTGAAAGGTACGAAAAGGAGGTTGTGGCCCCATGGTGGAGAGTGCTGGTGGCTTTTGCAAGGCAGGGCTTGTTTCTTTAACTTTATTAGGTCTTACGCAGAGCCTTGAATAACAAATATCTGCTTATGTGAGTTTTACATTTGGAGGTGGATTAAAAAGAGTAACTTGTTTTGCTTGTGACAGGGGACTAGGACTCCACTCGCTCCTCAGCACGGTAAGCAACATTCCAGTTCTTGCTCTTGTCTGTAGTCTGCCTTTGTCCGTGGTGCACAGCCCGTGTGTGTCTCAGCAGGCCAGGCAGGGCCTTTCATTGTGCTGGAGGAGCAACAAGAAGCCAAGGGGTGGGGTACAGAGGGTTGTAATAACGGATCCAGATCCACAGTTTGGATGTTCAGAGCAGACCTACTCTCACCTAGCGCTGTGCGATGGGATCTACCGGCGGGTTTTAGCTGGGGTAACGCTTGACTGCGGAGTGCCTTTTCCCATAGTAGGTGGACCTGGAAGCAGGGAGGATGAACCCACACCAGGAGCTTACTGGGTTTAGGGGTTGGTTTTGTTTTGTTTGGGTTTTTTTAATGTAAAATTTTAGATTTCTAAAACGGGGAAATGGTTTTGACTCATTCCGTGGTAAATAACTGCTAGTTTGAAGTAACCTGGGAAACTTTTAACTTATGTCTGACAGTTGTCCTGTGTTAATGTGTAGAAGACTTATCCTTCCATATACTGTTGCTGTAGCTGCTGTATTTTAGACCAAAACTGATCACGACTTAATGGTAATGCTGAAAGGTTGTAAACGTCCTGATGCAGTTTGTAGCCACTGTGGGTATAACTTTTCAGATGTGTATATTGGTAACAGGTCAGTTTGGAAAGTCTATAAGCTACAATAAATTTCTGGTTCTAAAGGTTGTTTGCAGTTATTTCTTGTTGAATGGCACAAAGCTGTATCAAGTCACATCAAGCGTGTGGTAATTTGCTTCCCTGGTGGCAGTAGAAGAGTTTCGTGTTGAGCTCTCAAGCATAGAAAGACTTTGGCCACGTGTGTACAATTTATCAATCATCTCTTTTATTTCTTGACTTACAAAACATGTACCTAAAGCAACTGAAGGCTGAACGTGTAAACTTTCTCTTTGACAGAACCACAGGTTGGCTTAAAAAAATACTTCTTTTTGTCAAAGGCAACAGAATGAGCACAATCATTTCTTACAGAGTTAACAAAAATAACACGGAACCATCTCTAAATAAATAGAACTGGAAAGGGGGTCCTCGGGAGCAGGTTTATAAAACCAGAAGCTACGTATTTATAGTGAAATGTCCTAGTTTGGAAAGTGAGTGAAGTTTTTAATCCTCAGTACAATTCAACTATCAGGGGAGCTGCTGCTTTGTACCTTTGGAGTCAGAGGCTCTCTGCTGACCCAGCGTAGCCATCAGCTGCTCCAGTGGAGGATGAGGAAGGGCCTCCTGACAGCTCACCCTGTGGTCACTTCTTGCAGGTAAGTCCGTTTTCTAGACTGAGTACCCTCTGTAAAACTCTGCTGGATTGAGAAACACCTTTGGAATTGCTCAGGTTTTGCCATTTACACTGCTAGAACGTTGGTTTATTGCACTTCTAAACTGGAAGGATGGATGCCAAGAGCCACTGCTGCTTTGTACCGCTGTAGAACTATGCAAGGGCCTGAGGTGGCTGGAAACGGGACCAAAACAGCAGCTGTACCAAGCATAACCAAGGAGCCTGCTGGCTGGGACTGCCTCGCTGCACTGCCACAGGCAGGAGCCTTGTACTCATTCGTAGAAGCAATTCTCTTAGGTTGCTACATTCATGCAATTGTGTCTTCCCTTCCACAAGCATCTACCAACCACGGATGAGGTGGTTGTGGTTTCAGTGCATCCCAGCTTGCATGGGGCCTGGTATTGGTGCATGCTACTTGCTCTGTAAATCAGGTTAGTAAGGAAGGAAATGGCAATACTTACTTAAATATTCTCTAAGATGGAGCAAAGTTGTGTGGTGACAGAAGTCTGCAAGCAGAGAGTCTGGGCACACCCCCCCCCCACGGGGGAACACGAGGAGGAGGTCACCTCCCTGCTGAGGCAGCAGTGATTCAGGCAGGTGCTGTGCTGTTCTCTCGCTGCTCAGGATGGCAACAGCTCTAAACACTGCAGTATTTTCTAGTATCCAAACTCCTGTTAGGGCCTGAGTGTTTGAGCTTGTTTTTTCCTTTTTCCATTTCCTATTTAGTATTTCAGGAGGGTCCCACAAACCTGCCTTTACTCCATAATTGTGGCAAATTGTAATTTTCTATCTATTCCGTTAAGTTTGGGTCTCCACAAATCTGGCTTTTAAAAAGCCCAGTGTGCACAACAGCACCAGCCTCTCTGTTGGATGGATGAAAACTTCTGCATTTGATAATGGATTGTCTTTAAGAGGTAGAAGCATCTTCCTACTCCTAATTCAATTTCTATCACCTAGCACCCTCTGAGCCTATATAATCTGGCACAGATTATATAAGAAAATGATACTACTTGAAAACAGCTACAAACAAATAGTAGATCTGATAGTTTCCTCTCATAATTTGTTGCCAGTTCAGTTTCGTACAATGTACTTGTATGTAAATGCTGTGTTTCCTGCCAGACAGTTGGTACACATTTACCCACTGCTGTTTCCCTAGTGTTAGGCTCAAATGTATAGTCACAGGGAGATGTGAAGCTACCTCAGTTCTAGCTAACAAAGTGGGATCTGAAACACAAGTGCAGCAAACCCAATTACTTACTGCAGCCATACCTCAGTACTTACTGTTAAACAGTATGCTAAGAACTGTTACAGAATGTGGCTGTAAGTAACTTGGATCACTTGGAAGGGTTTGTGATGTCCTGGCCACATCCCTGTGACAAATGGCATCATTTGAAAGGTGTAGAAAAACAGGAGCTCCAAGGGTTAGAGAGTTAAAATGAGCTGTGTGTAAGGGGTGCTTTGAGGTGCAGCCTGGTTTATACTACTATATACAAACCAGTACAGAATGGACTGCGTAGCATTAGTTTGTTATGGAAAGAAACTGTAAGCAATTGAAATCAGGATTTAAATAGCACTGTGGGAATCTGCTGGTACCTGTACATAAAGGTAATGAGGGCAGGGTTTGTTAAAGGTGTTTCATATTCCATTCACTGACCAAATCTAGCATTACTACTATTATTTGTTTCTACTTAAGGTAGAAGTTAGTTTAAGGCAGTGTTCACTTGCTCTTCATCACCTGCACAGCTCAGGTACTTGACCTTGTATTTTACAGTACAGGGGTACCTAATTTGAAGTATTATAAAGAGCTGAAAGTCAGGAATGAGATACAGCTGTGTGCTGGATGCAGAAACACCATCAAATCAGATTTCTTCTAGAGCAGGGAACAGACCTGTTCAGTCTCTGTCCTAAACCTGCTGGTATTATGGGACTTTAAGCCAGACATGAAGCTAGATTTACAGGAGGGAGTAGTCAGTCCATCATTAGACAGTACGTGCACCTCTTGGCACTTGAGAAACAGGCTCTGAGGTGCCTGGTGGTTTTTTTTCCCTATATAAGAGTTAAACAGTTGTGTGAGTAATAGGCAATTGCTCAGCCTGGTTAAGGGAGTACAAATAAAACAGAGGCTTCAGCTTTCCCTGAAAATGAGACTGTTCCTTAAAAGAGAGCAATGGAGCACCTCCGTTGGAACCTGATGTTGGGGAAATTGGGGAAGGGAAGGAAGGAAGGAAGGAAGCCCCCCCAGGTGCTGCTGAAGGAAGCAGGTACTAACCAGCTACTCCACCTGTCTTCCACCATGACCTGTAGGCTGCAGCCTGCTTGATGCCCCTTGCTGTACCCATGTGAGGCAGCAGTGGCTCCTTTCATCTGTCCCTGTGTAACACCAGCGCTCAGAACTGCTCAGGTGAGGACAGTAGCTGGAGACAAACATGACACACGAGTAGAAATGCATGATTGATTACAGCACCTTGTGGGAGATGGGACAGACTGCTTGGGAAGGAGGCAGAGGCAGTGGTGAGAACAGGAGGTGGCCTGTCCTGATTTAGGTACCAGCACAGGATGGTCTCTGGATGAGCCCAGAGCCAGTCTAATAAAAGGAGTTGTGAACTGTGGTTGAAAGGAGGAAGAGTGTGGAAAGAGTAGGGAATACATTTGCGAGAAGATGAGAACATTTGTTGCAATGGA